ACCACAGGACCTTGGCTCTGCTAGGGGTGACACCTTCCCCAGGTGACCGTCCACGCGTCCTGGCTTCCCTTGACCGCATAACGAAGTCCTGGTCAATCTGACAAAAGAGGCAGCACCGGGAGACCTTTCCAGAAAGATCTCTCTCAGGGAGCAGCCCCAGAGGCTCACTTTCTCCTTCTCGTTCCTTGGAATGATTACGCGAGAGTCGGAGCTGCAGGGTTCGTCTTGAGGCCTTGAGGCGGGAGCCCGGGTCTCCGATGAGGCTGGGGGGTCGCCGGGTCAGTCCCGGGCTGCCGCCCCTCCGCCTCTGGAGCCCGCTGTGTTTATGTGGCTCTTGCCTTTGTCCCCCGCGGCTGCACCCTACCCGTAAGGGGGGTCGGAGGCGGAGGGTCTGTCTGGGCCGGAGCGCGGGGTTAATTAATTAGCCCGTTATTAGTCCTGACGCTGCACAGTAGGGAAGCAGGCTGCTTTTCACGTACTATGAGAAAACTGCTTCTTTAGCAGCTTTGCAAGATCAGAGAACGAGGACCGTCTTCCCAGAAATGTTCCAAACTGACAGTGACCGGCTCCCGCTTCTCCTGACGGGTCCGGTGTGTGCCTGGGGCCCGGGGGGCCGGGGGAGGGGGGGGGGACCCTCTGTGGCGTGTGGGAAGGAGTGCAGGCTGGGGTGAGTGGGTCAGGGCTGGGGCCTCCTGCCGAGACGCCCGCGGCGGCCCCCAGGTTTTCGGGAAGTACCAGAGGAACGGCGCGACCGGCGGGAGCTCTGCTACGAGGTCACGGTGACCCAGGAGGACGGGCTCCAGGCGCGCGTCCGTCACCTGCGCCGTGGCTCTCGCGGCTGTGACATTCTCCGGGCTTATTTTGGAGAGATTTCGCCACAGCGGTGCCCACGGGGAAAAGCAGGAATCGCAGACCCTCATGGGTTCCCTGTGCGCCAAGCACCGGCCGCCTCGCCGGCCTGGAATCATGAAGGGCGTCCACGGAGCCTGCAGCCGGGCCACGGGGTCGTGCGGGCTGGACGCTGACGACGCCCCAGGGCAGCTGAGTTTCCAGGGGCCTGAGCGCGGCCTCCCTGCGTCCCACCTCAAAGGCCCAGCAGTCCCATCTCCGAGGTGCAATTAGGACCCAGAGAGGGGAAGGGTCTGTCCAAGGTCCCACAGCTGGGTGAGGGGGGCTTGTGGGACCCAGGGCGGTCCTACTCCCGAGCCCCGCTTTGCTTGGGCCTCTGCCCGGTTCTGCTGAATCGGAGCCTCTGGGTGGGGCCCAGAGACTATTCAGCAGGCTCTCTGGGGGCTTTATGCCCAGAAACGTGAGGAGCGTGGTCTGGTTGATTCCTTGGGTGAGGAGCAGGCCAGATGGGGCAGAGCTGAAGCTGGACCCCGGGCCCCCTGCCTCCCTCAGCCCGGAAGAAGCTTGCCGGCCTCTGGGGGTCATGGGGTCCCTGTGGGAGCACCCAGCTCTCCCTCGGCGGCCCCTGGGGGGGGCGGGAGTGGCCACACAGGTAGGCACAGCAGCCAAGACCTGTCACCCTTCCTGTTAATTCGGTGTGGTGAGCCTCTGTGTGCACCTGCTCTGTCCCCACCTGTGAGGTCCCAGGTCAGGCTCAGCGGCCACCGCCAGGTTTGCGACAGCCTGGGGACAGAGACCTGGCATTGATTCCAGCCCCCCCTGTCCCTGAGCCTCTGTGACCTCCCCCAGTGGCCAGGCACCCCTCCCCCGCCAAGCTCCCCCACCCACGGCCCCACCCCTACCGTGTAGAACACGCCGGTGACACTTTGAAGGCCCGACTCCCATTACATCACGCGGCCATGAACGCTAAGCGTGAGGGCAGGAGTAACTTGTCATCTTTTTTTTTTAAGCTTATTTATTTATTTTGAGAGGGAGAGAGAGAGAGAGAGAGAGCAAGAATGGGGAGTGGGAGAGAGAAAGGAGAGAGAGTTCCCAGCAGGCTCTGTCTGCACTGTCAGCACAGAGCCCGACACAGGGCTCGAACCCACGAACCGTGAGATCATGACCTGAGCCAATCAAGAGTCGGATGCTGAACCGACTGAGCCACCCAGGCGCCGCTCATCTTTTTCAAGACAGACAGACACACACACACACACACACACACTAACATAAGCACAATAAAATAACTATTGCTCAGGAAAAGAAAAGAAGAAATAAATGTTCCAAATCAGCACACGTGCACCCTATCCACCTTTACAGTATCCGGCAATTTCCAGCCCATCCTTCTGCACGGCACGGCAGACCGCACTGTGGGCGAGCCTGCCCGAGGAGGGGACTGGAGGGGAGATGGGGGGGGGGTTGTGGAGTGTGAGCTTTCAGGGTGTGAGCACACGCACGTGTTTCTCTACAGGGAAGCAAGGATGGGCATCGGTAAGACGGAAGCGAAGGGGCACTTTCAGGGGTGCTCTGGATCAAGGCTTTAGGGAGCTGGGGACCAACGGGATAGGTGTCCCTTCACATGACGCGTCTCTCCCGCCTTTCTGGATAAAGGTCATCTATCGCTTAAGCTTGGTCTAACCAATACTTAAGCAGCCATTCAGCCGTGTCGGAACCATTTTCGGAGGCTACTCACACCACAGAGAGATCCGAGTTATTGCCAGGGCCCTGAGGAAATTAAATGGGAAGCAGTAACTTTAACGCAAGCGATCCGGCAAAATTTATGTGTGCAAACAGGCCCATACGTGCGCACACACGCTCACTTAGTTGTAAGGCTCGTACAGAGAAACACTGCCCGGCGGGCTCGCGGAAGCTACGGTCGAGTCTCCTCCTGTCTTTGGACTGAGTTTGAAATGGCAATATGTTACATTAATACTCTGTTAGTTACTGTGTATTTTTTTTATTTTTATTTTTTATTAAAAAAAATTTTTTTAACGTTGTATTTATTTTTGAGACAGAGAGAGACAGAGCATGAACGGGGGAGGGGCAGAGAGAGGGGGAGACACAGAATCGGAAGCAGGCTCCAGGCTCCGAGCCATCAGCCCAGAGCCCGATGCGGGGCTGGAACTCATGGACCGCGAGATCGTGACCTGAGCTGAAGTCGGACGCCCAACCGACTGAGCCACCCAGGCGCCCCTACTGTGTATTTTAAAAATGGATTTGAAGTCCTGGGGACCAGAGGTACCGCACGCAGATGGAGGTCGTCGGTGGCGATTAGTGTTGCATGGTGACACGTAGCTGCTAGACTTGTGAGCACAGCATGATGTATAGATGTGTCGCCTCACTGTGTCCTACACCTGAAAGTAATGCAACATTGTGGCAACTACACTTCAGTTAGAAAAAAAAAAAAAAGAGCGTTTCAAGTTCCCCAGGAATCAGGCTGTTTTCATACATAATAACCTTTGTTTTTATCGCTGGAAGCTAGAAGCACATTTCCTGCGTTAATTCACGTGGTCCTTGCATTCTTGCTGTGAGGCACGGGCTGCAACTGTCGCCCATTGTGCAGATAAGGAGACTGAGGCACAGGGGAGTGGACAGCCATCCCTCCCCCTCCCCCGGCCCTCGGTGTCCCTCCTGTAAGAAGCCGTGAGCACAGGGTCCACCTGGCTGGTCCGGGCAACCTCCTTGCCTCCAGCCCCCGACCTTCATCCCATCTGCAAAGTGTCCTTGGTCAAGAAAGGCAACATATCCATCCACGAGTTCCAGGGATTAGGATGTGGATCTTTTCTTTGGGGGGGGTGGGGAGGGTTCACATTCTAGTTACCACATCAGCTAAATCAAGAGTTGGGGAGAGATGCCTGGATCGTATCTGATTCACCCACACTGCTGGCTTCTGCAAACCCATTTGTGCTGGGTGTGCCTGTGAGTGTCTCATTCTGAGAAGCAGGCCATCAACCTTCGTGGTCAGCTGTCCCTCCACTCAGTGGACGTTTAGTAAGCCCTCCAGCACATTTGCGATGTCTTGCTCTGAGTAGGTTCTCACCAAGATTTTCTGGGATTTGAGTGATCATAGTGAGTTTGCACAAATATTGCTCACCTTTGTTCTAGGAACTGTTCTATTTTTAAATTTATTTTATTTAAAAGTTTTAAAATGTATTTTCAGAGAGAATCGGGGAGAGGCAGAGAGAGAGCGAGAGACAGAGAACCCCAAGCGGGCTCTGTTCTGCCAGCTCAGAGCCTGACACGGGGCTCGCGTCCACCCACGAACCCTGAGATTGTGACCCGAGCCGAGATCAAGGGTCGGACGCTCAATCACCTGAGCCACCCAGGCGCCCCACTGTTCTGTCCTGTTAACACGAATCTGCACATCCTGGAGGAAGGCAGGAAAACCCTCTCTGCTTGGGCCATTGATGCAGCACCCAGCCTCCATTCTTGCTAAGCCTGTTCACTTTTCCAGCATTTGCAAGGTTTGCGGTCTATAGAATTAACTCCCGATGGTGCCTCTAATTTCAGCTTCCTTAGATGACTGTTTCCCTGGGAATAGGAGCAAAGATTAAAACTGGGCCTGAACAGTTGGAATTTATCAGGTGTCAATGAGCCACTTCCCTTAATCGCCCTTCTGAAAGCCTAATTGCTCTCCCCACACTTCAGCTCTCATTAAAGTAACCGGCCGAGGCTTCGGAGGGGAGTCCACACCAAGGAGGTGGCAGGCCGGCCCCGGCTGGCTGGGAGGCGAGCACAGACCCCTGAGCGAGCCTGGCCGCAAGCGGCACCCAGTCCACGGGCAACAATTATAACCGTTAGCCAGCCATTAAAGTGTCATCATAGGGGCGCCTGGGTGGCGCAGTCGGTTAAGCGTCCGACTTCAGCCAGGTCACGATCTCACGGTCCGTGGGTTCGAGCCCCGCGTCAGGCTCTGGGCTGATGGCTAGGAGCCTGGAGCCTGTTTCCGATTCTGTGTCTCCCTCTCTCTCCGCCCCTCCCCCGTTCATACTCTGTCTCTCTCTGTCCCAAAAAATAAATAAACGTTGAAAAAAAAAATTAAAAAAAAAAAAGTGTCATCATAAACTGTTTCCTATATCACAATTAATAAACGACAACAATAAACGAAAACAAAAGGTCCATCATTTCATTTTTATGTCACGGGGGTCTGCTGACGTCTGTTATGCAGTGACACGCGCAGTGGGTTCGCAGTCAGAAGAACCGAGGGCCAGCGTTGCGTGGGCTCCGCCAGCCGGGTCTCCGAGAATCACCGAGACGCCACGAGGTCGCTGTCAGCGTCTTCCAGCCCCGTATTTTTATCCAGTTCCTATCCAGAGGTTGTGACGTGATCTAACTGAATCAATACTTAACTGAGACGTTTCGTAAGGAAACCCCCTTTCTGACCCCTTTCAGGAGGATGCGGAATATGCCCTCCCCAGGGGCAGCAGGCGCACAGAGCGGACTCCGGCTGCGGCCTCCGCGTGGTGCACGCTTCCGCCCTGCCCGCTCGGTCCCAATTCGGCCGCCTGCTAGCTGCGACAGCAGGGGCACTGCTCAAATCTCTCTGTGGCTCGGTGTCCTCCTCTGTAGGATGGGGATTTGAAGGCTGGCTGTGAAGCTCAGATGATCGGCAGCAGGCAAGACAGCTTGTCCGGCGCCTACCACCCTGAAAGCAACATGTAAGGGTTTTCCGCTATTTGTTACGATTATTAATTACGATTGCTACTCTGTGTTATCAGCGATGTACGCGAGGTCTCGACCCCTGCTCTAATGCCTTTCCACTGTTCTTTCCCACTCTGTTCCCGCGTTGGCAGGAAACCAGAAAAGCCAGGAAACCAGGAAAACAGATTGGCGTCACTGTAGGATTCCGAATACCTAGATTTCCAATTCTCTGTGGAGGTTTTCCGCAGACTGCATGGCAGGAAGCGTCCTTCAGGCCACGTTGCCTTCAAGAAAAGCCCACGGTTGTCATCACTTTGTAAGACAGTGTGGCGGGAAAGACGGAAACTAAGGATGCGATGCTCTGGGACCGCGACCCCCTTTCTGAAAGGCCACTCGAGAGGGTACTTTCGCGAGTGCGCCGGCCGTCAGGATGACACATACAAAAGTGGTTAACTTTTAAAAATTAACCGCATCTTTAAAAAAATTGACAGACAACATTCTCCTTCTATCCTCTGTAGTTGCCTGAGTTTTAACACACGTATGGGTTCTGGACCTAGCGGCACAGCCAGGGCCCACGAAATTCCCTCGTGGACGTTCCTTCCCTTTATGCTCCCGCCCTCGCCCGCCCGCCTCCGGCAACTGGGACCGCTTCTCCATCAGTACAGGTGTTGGGTTTTTGGTTTTGTTCTGTTTTTGAGAATAAGACAGAAATGGAGAGATGTGATGGGCCTTTTGAGATTGGCTATCATCTCTAATAATGCAAAATCGACACTAACCTAAAAGTACACCCGCAGGGGAATAGTTAAGTAAACAGGTAAAAACAGCGTGTGAAATACCACGCAGCGGTAAAAAAAAAAAAAATAAATAAATAAGGTAGGCATGTAGGCGTTAACACTGATAAAACTCCATGATACGCTACGTTACCACTCATGCGAATTCCCTCCCCTACATAAGGTCCTACGTGAGTGCCCAAAAGACTGCCAGGAAGACCCCAACTAGACGAATGGTTATCTGATAGGGGCTGAGATGCTCTCTGCAGACAGCCGATCCCTCGTCCTGCTAGCCCGCGGCCACCTCCCTCACCGCCCCACCGCCACTCCCCCACCTCACCCCCGGCTCCGTGACATGTTGGGATAGAGACTCTCCAGCACAGTCCCCCCAGTTCTGCTGCTCACGCCCGCTCTCCTCACCTAGTTTAGACACCACGTTCTACGGTAATCAGCAGACTCTTGCTACCCCCTGCCCTTCCCCCCACCAACTCTCCTGGCTGTCTTGCCATGTGTTAGACTCACCTAGGGAAAAACCACCCCCAGCTGAATCTAACCTTCGTTTCCTACACGGTTGCACCCAGGCAGGTAAAGGTGGTTGGGGGAAACATCCACCTGCACCCACTGGTATCACTGTACATTCTCAACTGACAACCTGATAATTGATTATTATCCCCCACGGCTGCTGGTACAAAAGCACCAGAAGCACGTTAGCAGACCAGCTTTTCTCTGCCCCAACGTGTGTAAAAGTTCCCACTGGCTGGGGAAGGAGAAGGGACCAGAAGCCTTCTGCATACCGGATTGAGATGGAGATAACGAGTGTCTTCCACTGACACGATCCCGAAGCCCCGAGAGAGCTGGTTCGGCACCCGGACTTACTTCTCCTTCCCGTCCAGCGAGGACGTCTGACCAAGAGATGGCCAGTGAGATGTCTGGTTTTGATTTGCAAGAGCCACCTCCGAGATGGGTTCAAATGACTCCTAAGAGTGTAAGAGCCCAGGACACCTGGGAGGGTTAGGGGGTATGGAAATAAAACCGTTCTCTCGGCCACAGCAGGATTAGGAAGAAATAAGTGGAATTTCCTCTCTGGGCACTAACAGCTGCACGGACCACCCTCTGGTAGGGTGATGTGAGTGGAATCTGGCGTAGCCGATGCCCAGCCAGACTCTGTATTGCCGGGGAGGGCGACTGAGCCTACATGGTCTTTGCTGAATAACTAAAGAGGCGGGTAAGCTGGTTCAGGGTAGAGGGAGAATATCTCAACGAGGGATCTCGGGCAATGCCCAGATCCCAGCAGAAGGCTTCTGGGACGTGCATATGGGCGACGCCTTGTCAGGGCCGGGTCAAGTGATTTAACAGTGGTCATGTTCGTGTTCCGGGCAGGTGCACAGAGGGCGTCCTCCACATGGTGCCTCTGGGACCCAGGTCCTCTCCACCTTGTGGTTCTGTCCTCCTTCGAGGCTTCTTCGTCCAGCTCGTGGATGGGGAACGAGAGTCGGGCTTCTCTGGGCCGGGCCTTCCTCGGCACATGCCGTGTCCGTGTGCAGTGCAGTGACCAAATCTCAGGCATTTGCTTTATGCGGCGGCCGGGACGCCAGGAGCTTTAGCTGAGCTGCGTTCCCAACAGAGAAGGAAGCTGGGGTTGGGTGAGCCAGCAGCAGCGTGTATAGTCTCCAAACGAAGCAGGTGAATCTCCTTCCTGCCCCCTCGCCGCCGGGTAGGACCGAGCTCCCCTAGGCTCCCGAGCGTCGGAAGCAAGGGTGTGAGGTCGAGGTGGAGGTGGACAGCGACACAGGGGGAACGAAGACAGGAGGGCTCCCTGACGAATTAGCACTTGCTGGCCACAGAGGCTTTCCTGGATCACCTGTAAGTGCACCCCTTGCTGTGCAGACCGTGGCTAAGTGTTTTTCGCAAGGCCAAAAGTTCCCTTAAGCACCGCAATGATCCCAGTTGGAGACGTCAGGAGAGTTTACAGTTAAGGAAGGAGTCAGTCTGCTGTAAGCATGATAATGAGGTACACCCTGTGCTGTTTTTACGGCTTTGGAACGGAACATTCCCGCGGCCACCCTTACATACGGACGGAGGACTCAATTGTCCTTTGGGGAACCATCGAGACATAATTTCTCTTCAGTAGAGCAGGGTAAGTTATTCTGACCCACACGGCTCACACCTCAGGAGGGAAGAAAATAAATCAGCACTCTGCGGAAAATCTTCCTTCATTAGGCCCGGCTCTGATGAGGCCCCGTGGGCCTTGCTGGTCTGAAGGCAACACGCAGCTGACTTCTCCAGAAATAAAAAGAGACCCGAGGTTATGTAAGAGGCTTTCCCGGAAACCGAGGGCTGTTGAAGCGAAATGGGACACGGAACTTGGATCCCGGCGGGAGAGAAGTCATCTGTCGCAATAAATGGCCTCAGAGAGGGGAGGCGGGCTGTGACGCGGAGGGTATGGGGGGGGGGGGGGGCAGGGAGTCAACACAGCACGTGTGTGGCCAGATAGGCACATATACGTGCACATACAGTAACACACCCAGTGGTACCCACTTCTGGGGGAGCACCCCATCACGACACGTTTTTTTCACATTTACGCAGCAAAACGCACACAAATGTAATTGCAGTAAGTGTGCCAAACGAACACTTTACACGGTTCCTCATTATTAGACCGGGAAATACTTTTGCCGCAAACCTCCGAAAAAAATTTCTGGGTCGTAGAGACATATTTTATGTAATTTGGGAATTGTGGATGAGGGACTGCAGATCGGTGAGGGTGCACAGAGGCCCTTGCACAGTCCCGGGCACGCGCAGGCACCCTGTAAACGTCGACACTACATCTCGGGCGTTGGAAGAGGGTTTCGAGGATCGGTCTGGCAAAGCCAACAAGAGAAGAGGGTTGAGGAGTGACAGAGATCCAGAAGAGCACTGTGCAGCCTGAACGAGGAGGTGAGCCACCAGACGCTCCTGTCCCTGGAGGAAGCAGGGTGCGCATGATGAGAACACGTGCTTTGGCACTGGATCAGCTTACATGGGCCCCCAGCCCCGGCATCTCCTCGTGTGTGACCTTGGACGAGATACCTAGCCTTTCCGTGCCTCCTGGAACCCGGCTGTGCCGCGGAGACGTGAAGTGGTCTTTCTTCGGGGACCCTCGGGGGCCGCCACCGGAGGCCAGGCCCCGTGACGGTACTTTTGTCAGTGAGGAGCAGGCGGTGGAGACAGACTGCATTTGGGGAAAAAGCACGTGTGCCCGGGGGGCAGCGAGGGAAGGAAATCTTTCTAGGGAACGTTGTTTCGGTCACACTCAGGGAATGCAGACTCCTCACTGGACACACGGGCTCAGAGAGGTAAGGTGACTGGCCTGATGTCACACAGGAAATCCTTCACAAAGCCTGCTGTGGGACTTCTGTCTTCTCCTTTCTGGTGCTGCCTTTCCCCCGCCATATTCCTTTATTTTTCTACTACAGGAGCAAACGAGCCCAGGTTTTCTTGGGATCAGTGTCAGTGTGACCTCAAGGGGGATGGAAGCATGACGTATTGAGCACGATAGATGGGGACCGCATTCTCGAGTCCATGGCCGGTGCAGCTCACACCTACGAGAGCCAGTGGCCCGCAGGTCATGCTCCGAGATGCAGACAGATCCAGAACGCTCCGTGAGCGTGCAGTCTCCGGCCCCGGGCTAGAAATTAGAAAAGGCTGCCTCAAACTGTTCCTGCGCTTTAAGATGCGACCAGGACCCGAAGCCTGGGGTGAACTACTCAGAACGAGGCTGTGCCCCGACTGCCAGGGATGCCGTCCGGGCGGGAAAATCCGTTGAGTGAGGCAGAGGCCGAGAGAGGGGCATACACAGCAGAAGCCACGGTGCCTGGTGCCTCGGAGCAGAGGCACCAACATAGGACCATTCGGGGAAGTATTTTTGCCTGCCCAGTCCTTGCACCTTACTGTACCGCCCACAATGTCCTCAGGGTCCACCCGCATCGCAGCACAGTGTCAACATTTCATTTCCTTTTCTGGACGAATCCCGTCCCCTTGTAGTCAGGCGTTGTGAGTAACGCTGCTGGGAGCGCAGGTGTCCAAATAACCGTCTGGGTCTCTGCTCTCAGCTCTGCAGAATCATTCTTGCTGATCCCTTACAAGGCACCGTGCCGGAACCTTCCGCAGCTGTCCCCGTATGAGAAATCCGGGACGCACAGCTTTTCTTTCTACTACTCATTCACCTTCTTTGCCTCTGAGCAAGTGTCAGTGAATCTGCTGAATTTAATTGTCCTCGTTTTACTTAGGGGTTCTTCTAAATCGCTAGTGTTTTCGCAAGCCCCTTTTATCATTCGTGGAAGGTTATATGCTCCTTTGTAACGGGGACCTCAACTAAGGCATTCCCCTCCCGCCACTGTCCCCAATCCCCAGAGAAAACGTGCCAGCCCTGTGTGCCACCTTGCTGAGTAATGACGGCCAATCTTATTGACCCATGTCGAAAATAACGGATTAAAGTCACTCTTCCCTGGGAATACACTGGCATCCACCTAAGACCCAAAGCGTCTTAACTGAAAGCAATTTCCAATGCAGGGATTTGTGGCATCTGGCCACCTAGATGGAGGGAAGGATAATCGGAATTTGAGGGCTTTTTTAGGTCAGGAAGACACCTCAGCACAACACGTGCCCATCAGCTGGGTTTGTCAGCTTTGCGCTTAGCAGCGTCTGCAGTCAGCCACAAAAGCTGCCCGCGCCTCCCGGCCTGGCGGCTTCGCCAGCGGCCCGGCGGGTCCTGAGGGGGAGCCTGTTCTTCACGGCCGCCCGGTCCTCCTAACAGCCGGAACATCCCCTCAAAGGTCATTTTTGTTTTCGAAAGATGTGACATTTTTTCAGTTGGTTAATGACAAACTGCGGATCTGCAGTGTGTAGGTCTGTGGTGCTCAGATCAGAGACAGCCATATGGCTCATGTTTGGATTTCAGACCGTGGGCGAATTTGGGAGAATTTGCTCCTTCGCGGGCTCGCTCCCCATCCGGCCCCCGGGGAGTCACAGCTCGTGACACTTAGGTGTCGGCTGGTCCTTTCCTCGGGTGGCTCCCGGACTCACGGCTGGCTGTTCTGTCTTCCTGGAGTGGTGAGTTTTAAGTTATTTTGGTCCCTGGTCCGGACACCAGCAAATTGCAGATGCGGTGCTTGCGTGCCCCACCTGCAGGGGGCGCCCCTCTCTCCCGGCTGGCCTCCGGCGTTCACCCCTCCATGTCCAGGCTCCACCCAGCACTCAGAGCCACCCTGCACGAGCTGCAGACCAGGCTCCGGTCCAACAGGAGTTCTCCTTGCACTCAGAAGGATCCCCATCACAGCCGGGTGGCCCCGCCCAGGGCCCCCGTCTCCCGCCCCAGCACCGCCCTGTGCCCCACCTCCCTTACCCCTAGACACGATGCCCGTCAGCCCTTGGGGTCCCCTTTCCTGTGATAACCAGCCCGCCTCTGCTCAGAGCGCTGGCTCAAATGTCACACCCTCTGGGGACACCACTTCCTCCAAAGGGCCATCCGCCCCAGGACTTTCACGTGTGGCCCAGTGGCACGATCTGAAACGACCTTGTCCGTTTACCGCTTTGCTCGTGTGCTGCGTGCCCCTTCCCCGCCCCTCACGACGAGGACTCCGGAAAAGCAGTCACACTGGCGAAGCCGCGTCCAGGGCCGTGAACCCCGCCCGGCCCGCGGCAGGTGCTTGAGGGGCATCTGAAGAACAGACAAGCGTATCCCTGAGTTGCTAGAGAATCGCATGACACACGGTCTGTGAGGCTGGGCGGGGGCTGGGCGCCGAGCTGAGGCTGCGCCGACGTCACCTACCTTCACGATGCAGGAGCCTCGAATCCCAAGGGTCTGTCTTTCTGCAGCAAGGGCGGGTTGAGGCAGGAGACCCACAGTGGCCGTAACCTCCCCCACCTGAGGCAGGCCCCCTGGGGTCACGGATCGGGCTAAGGTGGCTGTGGGTGATGCTGGCCGCACGCCTGCCCCCCAGGAAGCTGACGGCCACCGGCTTTGCGCTCCCATCCCGCGTGGGAGGGCGATTCCACTCTGCCTGTAAGTCCAAGCCTTCCAGCCCTCAGACGCTGGGAGCCAGGCAGCGTCCCACACTGCCACCTAGCTCTCCACCGTCAGCCAGGACACAGTGAACAGGGAGCTCTCACAGGCGCGCTCTTGCTCAATCAGGCCGCGCCCCACACCTCCTGACGGCCCGCCAGGATCGGGCAGGGAAGGAGCTGGCAGACGGCCGGCGTTCTCGGATTTGCCCCTAAAACCGGGGCTTGAGGGGAGGCACTGTGTACAGTCATCTCGGTCCTGCTTGACGTGCCGCTCCGCTTCTGGACTCTTCCCTGCACACACAGACACACACGCACACACGCACGTACAGGCACACGCGTGCACGGGCCTCGTCTCCCTACTGCGCGGCACTCGGGAAAGACGTTGTCAGAGAAAAGCTGTCAAGATCCGAGGTGCAGAGTTTAGTTTGTCAGGTAGGACCCCTGGCACTCGGCTTTTCTGTGGAGCTCCAACACCACCTAGAACGTGGTAGAACACTTCTTAGGTTGGTCCTGTTCCTCACCCCACGGGGTGCTCGTCTCCTCCCGGAGTCGTCCCTGTCTGTAGCGGGACAAAGAGGTCCTCTCAGATTGACGTCCGCCCGGAACCCCAGGGGTGACCTTATTTGGGACCAGGGCCTTCACAGATGTCGTTAGTCAGGGATCCCAAGATGAAGTCATCCTGAATTCAGGGTGGGCCTTAAGTCAAGGACTGGTGTCCTTATACGAAAGGAGCGGCAGAAAGATGCATCGGGGGAAGGAGGCCGCGTGAAGACAGAGGCAGAGGAATGCCTAGGGCCACCAAGAAAGAGCTGGAAGAGGCAGGACGCGTTGAAGGGGACATGGCCCTGCCCACACTTTGATCTGATTTCAGATCTGGTGCCTCCGGAACTGCAAGGGAGTAAACTGTGGTTGTTTTAAGCCACCCAGCTCGTGGACGCTAACACACTCTGTGGGGGATTGCAAATCACCCCGGACCGTAATTACCGGTCTCCTCATTTGACCGTAAGTCTCTGTATCCTTGGTTCTGACCATGGCATGTAGCCGGCAGGATTCAGAGCTTGATGGACGAGTGAGCGAGTCAGTGAATGAGTAAACGGATGTGGCTGTGTGAGCCCATGGTGCTGGTGGAGCCACTGAGGCATCGTCCCACCAAGAGCCGCGCCCCTCTCTCTGGGCTGAGGACACACGGAGGCAACGGATCCGGCCTGCAGACCCCTCGTCCCCATTCCGGTCCCGAGAGTGGTCAGATTACTAGGGCTCAGTTTTGGGCATAATGCTCAGAGCGGCCTCTTGAGGGCATTCACCCAAAAGGAGTCATGCTGTCTGCTGAAATTATGAGAGGCGATGCAGGAGTGAACAGATGCCTCTGTGCACACCTGCGCTGCCTCAAAGCTCAGTCACCATCATCGCCGTGGGATGACCCGTGGGAGCACAGAGGAGGCGTGAGGAGGCGGCCTCCATCCTGCTTCCCCACGGATCCTGTGCACAGCTGGCAGCAGTGACCGAAATGTCCACCCTCGCCACCCCGCCCGCCCTTTGGCTGTCCGGTCTGCACCGGAAAGAACACGTACAGTTCGAGGACAGGAAAACGTCACGACCTCGGTCCCCGATCGGCGTGTCGCGTCTGCCGCTCTCGGCCTCCGTGGGCCTCGCAGCACCAGGTTACCTGACCGAGAGCAGGTCCGGGAGGGCAGGGGGCTCCTGGAAGCGCTGGGTGTCGGGGGCGAGGCGGACGGGCAGGAACCTGCCCCCATGGGTGGGCCCTGTGTCCCCGCACAGCCACGCAGCAGGACAGGACGGCCATGCAGCTGAGGAGGAAGGGCCCTTCGGCTGGGAAGGGTGAAATCCAGTTCGCCCCGCTTGGCGGCTGCAGGGAAATGGGGCGATTTCAGGCCCCGGGCGACATGAGGTCGCCTTCCGCCGCCTACAGGAAGTCTTTCTGTTCAGCCGAGGAAACGAGCCGGGGACCTGGTTTCCAGGCCAGCGGACATCCAAACGCCCCCCTTGTTTTCGTCACAGCCTCCCCGGTTCTCCTTTCGGGAAGCCGCCTAGCACACCGCAGCCATGCTCCTAAGGGGGTCACGTGACCCACGCCCAGCCAATCCAAAGATGGCAGCCTCAGGCCCATCGTGATTGGCTCGGAGAGAGACACATGGCTCAGTCGTGAGCCAATGAGGCTCAAGTCCGGGACATTTACCGGAAGGGCCCGGAAGAGGAAGAGAAAGAGGTTCTCTGTAGGAGACCGGGCCTCTGTGCTGCAGCAGGTGACCCGAGGGACGACGTGTCCGAGACCGGCTGCGGTGTCCGCACCAAGCGGGGCCGCGTCTGGGTGGTGCCCGCCCTGGGAGTCCCGCCTTCTGGTTACGGCGGCCCAGGTGTGGCGGAGCTGTGTGGACAGATGCCCGCAGGTGCACGCAAGGCCCCGGGGAAGGTGGCTTGCGGGGAGGCCGACCACCACGCGCCCGGTGCTGCAGAGACCACCCATCAGCCGTGTTCGGTCTGAGGCCCCTCTTCTCGGAGCTTCCCACTCACAGGAGTCAACATTATATCTTCCACGGACTTTTCCTAACATGGGAGGCATCTCATACTTCCAGAAGTTTCTGCCTGGTTGATGCTTCCTGGTGACATATAGAGGCACTCGCATCTCATCAATAACTTCTGTCGGAGCTGTATTTTTCAGAAAGATTTGCTTCCAGGAAGCGCGTCTGCAGACAGCTAATTCCATTCGTGTGATTTGTTACCATGTCACAGTTTGATTCACACCGTCTCTGGAAGATTAGGGGAGCATCTTTGGGGGTTCTTCCAGCGTTCTTCGGTTGTCAGTGACAGGTTGGTTTTGACCAGCTTCAGGACGGAAGGGGTTTCGTAGAAGGTTATGGGTGGGACGCCTGGGTGGCTTAGTCGGTTAAGCGTCCGACTTCAGCTCAGGTTATGATCGCATGGTTGGTGGGTTCAAGCCCCATGTGGAGCTCTGTGCTGACAGCTCAGAGCCTGGATCCTGTCTCCCTCTCTCTCTGCGCCTCTCCTGCTCACACGGTGTCTCTCTCTCAAAAATAAATGAACATTTTTAAAAATTAAAAAAAAAAAAAAGAAGGTTAAGGGGTACCTTACGAAGTAGAAAGTTAAGCTGAGACTCTGGACTTAGGCTGGAGAGGAAGGAACAAGGCAGCAGAACCGGGGTAGGTCACAGGAACAGAGGGCACCTGTGGGGACGCCCCTTGGAGGGGATGTCTTGACTGATGGCTCCACCCACATCCAATGGGAGGAATGTCGCTCCCAGAGCAAATTCGGGATGCTGCCACCCAAAAAAAGGGTGGTCAGCAAAACAGCACATGCCTGTTATACCCTGTGTTGCCCTACTCTCTCTTGATGGACAGAGGGATTGTAGTCAAAATATTTAAGGGCCAGTATGACACTGACCAGTCAGAGAGGGAGCCATGGGCATGGGTCTCCTGGACATAGCAGCTGAACAGCAGCCCAACTGTAGGCGTTCAGATTCCGCTCGTACAGAATCATTTCTTTCCCTGAAGGCTGGAGAGGTCGACACAGAAACACACTGCTTTCTTTACCTTGTCTCCCTCCTCTGTATATTCTCTGGATAATTTCGGAACCAGCGTGTCTAAGGGTATGAGTACCGGGTTAGGAATTCTGACATTCTGTCATTTCAACTGCCCTTCTGACATTGAGCCCCGTCGTCTTATTTGCGCCTCAGATTTCCGATCGTGAAACTGGGGTTGTGGTCCTTTAACTCTAATCGAATCCGACAACGGTTCCCTAGAATCCTCCTCACCTAGCATCTCTCTGTGATGGATGACAAGTTCATTCATTAACTGTCAGAAAGCAACGTTTCCTGAGTAAGACCGCCACTCGTCTTGCGGCCGCTCCCTCGGATGGAAAAGCACGGTCGCCAAGGACTTGAAGATCCCCGTCTCGTGCTCTGACGACAGTTAGAAGTACACACACTTAGCGTTACTGCTCTCGCAGCCAGCTT